CCTGCAAACACGAAATAATACGAATGCTTGGCTCGATGCTATTCAAACACTCAAGATCCGTGACCTTCCATGTGGCCCTAAATCGAGAGTTCTCAAAATACAAGAGGGCAAAAGGCCTACATGCTGCTGCAAAGAATTTTTTAGGGTTTCCAAATGCGCCAAATTAGGATGAACAAGACGTAGAACTATTCGAGAGAATTTTCGCTGGTACTAACAAAATGGCGCTACTGCCAATCAAAAAAATTAACGGCCGAAAAGGCCGCATTTCGGGAACACAACAGTCCTTTTAAGTTTCGGTGTAAGGAACGTTGGTGCTGATACCCTCAACGTAAACTGTTTCACCTTTATTTGCGGATGACAGTGGTACTTCAATCGCACCGCCACGTGACAGCACTTCGCCCAGTGAACAGTCCACTTGTCCAAGGACGCCTACGAACTTTTCGCTGTCCCCATCAACTTGATTGCTAAAAAACAAAGCGCTTCTGCTAGAGGCAAAAATTCACAGGACAAGTTTTGGCACGATTTAAAGACACGTGAGAATACTAAAAAGACGCAAAATGAGTGATACTTGTCCATTTTCAGCAATAAACTCGACAAGTGCTTTCCTGGAATGAGGGCATGAAATTTTTCGCATCCCTAACTGTATTAGGAGTATCCTCTCTGTTCATCTAATAAAAGGAATTAGACATGAAATTTTTAGATTTCTAGGAACAAATTCACTTAGCATTACAATCGCTGAAGTATCACCTAAATGAGGGAGCTGAAAAGGCCTTGAAAATACATTGCGGGAAATTAACTGCCTCAGATCTGTGTGCGTCCATACATAGAAATTTCAGTTTTTATTGTGTAGATAATGCGAATAATACGTCCCATGGCTGCCGATATGTCCCACTCATTTATTACCTCTACGAAATATTCAAGAGGAAGTGAGTGAGTGAGTGAATGAATGAGAAAAGAGGGGGTTCGGAAAAGCCGCAACCAGTCCCTTCCGATTCTGTATCTTATAGGTAGAGCTGAAATTAACTGTTCCAGAAAACGCAATAAAAAAAAAAAAAATCATCGGTCCTAAGAGCGAACGAATCGGCCGGATAGAGGAAGCGGCTTAAACAAGCGAGTAATTGGAAAATTTATCCGAAAAGGAATAAAAAGGAAGTGCTAATCATCGGGCTCAAGAACAAAGGGAAATGCTAACTTAAACAAATGATATGAAAAATTCGTAAGTGAGTGACACTTAGAGTAGAGAATGCAGCGAAAGAACAAGTATCGCCATTATGTATTGGAGAAGTAAATTTGGTGGAGGGAAGAGGGCACCATTATGAAAGCAACTTAAGGAAGTATTTACAAGAAACAAACTTGATGCGGGCTTTCAATATGCACGCATACGCACACACACGCATACACACACGCACACACGCAGACATACACAACTAATAATGCCTTAAAAGAACCAAACTCACATTACACATCGTAGCCTTTGTGAATTTTCAAAACGATAAGATACGTAACAGTGACGCGTGAAAGCTGGATTAACAGTCCCAGTGCGTGTTTCGGTTTGCCCAATCTAAAATTCATGAGTGCATCGCCGCAGCTTCCGGCATAATAAAAAGTAAAAAAAAAAAAAAAATGGGAAGCAAAGATTTGCGCAATCGAACAATCAAATTTTCATGATGATAAATCTTGACCTAGCGAAAACCCAGATAAATCCACCAAAAATCACACGACAGTTTCATGCCGTGAAAAAAATTTATAAAGTTAAAATTCTGGAAGGACTTCACAAAGTCAGCAACAAGATCTCATCCCGGCTCCACAGGTAAGGTCGGAAGTTTTTTCGTGAATTAGCCAACGAAATAACGAATGCACAGAACCAACCTCAACAGCATTCTCTCCTTCGCAATAGATAGAAACAACGATTCGGACACCAGAGATTGCTTCTACGGGAAGTGAACTGAATATAAATGACTTTTTCAAACATGAACTTGAAGTAGAAAGTAGTACTGGCCGTAAAGGCCCTACAGGCAAATGGAAAAGGCTAATAAGCTGAGGAACAGGAACAATGGTTCATTCATTGAAGGGAAAAGACCAGCACACCTGGCCAATGGCACCTGCCTAGATCCCCCAAAAAAAGAGAGATAGCTTATCTCCTTTCACGTTCAAAATGCTACTCTTTCTTGCTATCACAGGCCATTTAGTATTCGGGTAAGTTTTTTTGTGCACAACTATTTGGCGCAATCTAAAAAAATTTCTCGGCCAATTCTAATATGTTTTTCAATAAAATTTCGCATGTTTTTAGTCCCCATAATCAGTTTTTGCGTTTTGCCAGCCAAATTTTGTACCTTTTGCTGCTTTCTTCGTATTTTATCCGGTATCCCCTCTCGTCTTTTTCTTGTTTTCCAGTACGTGACTACGTCGCTGTGTCACAGCATAAGTGCATGGTTGCTGGGAGCAAACAATTTTTAAATATTATTCAAATTGGTTTCATTTCCCCGAAAATTTAATTTCCACGCATGGAAATTTTGCATCCAGCAATTCCTCAGAAAAGGCAGTGGTAAGTAATAGAAGCATGTGCTGTGAAGGTTTTTACGGGTGGATAAAATTATGTGATTTGCAAATGTTCGTGGTTTCGGATGCTAATTAATCAGTGTGTGTGTGTCTGCGTGTGTGTGTGTGTGTGTCTGCGTGTGTGTGTGTGTCTGCGTATGTGTGTGTGTGTCTGCGTGTGTGTGTGTGTTTGGAAGAGAGATCAGTCCTACTGCATGCGGTAATAAAGCGCGCATTTAGCTTTAGCTCTAGTGCTGGATAATCTAAGAAAGCCAAAAAAAAAAAGAAGCTTCTACCTGCAACTGAAACTGAGTTCCAAATGTTCCATATTTCACATCGTCGGCACGGCTGTTTTTGGAACCAGTGCACACGTCCTTCACGCGATCTCTACGAGCACCGACGAAACAGCCTGGCCCATGTCCGCTCAAATTCCAGATTCAGCAAAATGCTGTGCTGAAAGTAGTAATAAGCATACGCTGAGTGACTCAAACCATAGTCAGTAACGCACGTGACGACCGAAACACGAAGGGAAGAAAGGGCCCTGAAAACTCCAACCAAACTTAGTCATTCCAAACAGGAATGTCGGGGTTTTGGTAAATGTGCGATGGTAATTTGCGGCTGTGCGTAGGCCGGAAAATAACATATAAAGTAGAGGAGGACGCTTAGCATTGCTGGATTCCACATGATTCAGGGCTGGGGAAATAGAATTTGATAGAGAATGGTAGCGGGTTGGATAGTTGGGCTGTTGATGTGGAACAAACCAGCTGACAGGTAAAATGGTCATGTTCAGGGTATATATAGGGTGGTCTGTCTGTGTTTCATCCCTTGGCTCTAAAAACACAGACAATGCAAGATGTGGTTAGGGATGGGAATCATGAATTTCTGGGAGGACTTCGTCAGCGCAATGCGCTGACATACCTCACCAGCATCGCGTTTGGAGTATCTACACGAAGTTTTCGATGCGGCAACGGAGGGAAGGGACGGGGTATTGACTGCAAGGGAACTGAGAAACC